TGCTGCTTGGCCTGCTGTGTTCATCCAGCCCTGCACCTTGTTGTCTTAGATATGCTGTCAGTCAGGTTTTATAACAAAAAAACACTGGGAGGAGTGGAATATGCTGTTTAACTTCATGATTAAATCAGATTAACAAGTCATATCAGGGTCTATTGTATTGAATATTTAATTCACTTTCTGAAACGCTGGAGAATAGCACAAAACATAGGCAATTTGCACAAGATCAGACAGGAGGCTTAATTACTACTCTGCAAATTGTCATTACTTGTACTACCATTATTGGGCAGCATGATGATATGCCTGAATGTAAAACACTCAGACTGCTAAGGGAGAGGCCAGCGACATTGGATTAGCCACTTTAACAAAAAATTTGGACAGAACTTCATTCATTTGCCTATTAAATTATTGCAATTATTGGGCAGCAAGTCTATAAAACTGTAGAATTCAAAAAAATGTACAGATAGTAAACCTTACTAAATGGTTTATGCCCAACACATCAGAATGATAAAACTTGAGCCAGTGATAGCAAAACCATCGTTATATTGTGAAACTGACACTGATTTTTCCACATCTCAGTTAAACGCAGAAGAAGTTGCTGTCACTGATTTTCATCTCTTCTACAGGTTGCAGATGAAAATCTTTAGAAATTGCATAAATTTATAAGAGCTTCCATTTTTGCAATCTAATCTAAGAATCTGTGAAAAAGTCATCTTTTTGGACAATCTGCAATTGGGTTTTTTAAGTGGCATAATAAATAATATTTATTGAACAACCTCTCCAGCCCTCAATCACTTTTTAAAATTTTTATTCCCACAATAAATAAAATATCCAAAGGTTTTTTTGGAAGTTTGGTTATTCAGATTCTTCCTCAATTCTAAGTCTATGTCGCATTTATTTTCATCTGTAAAATTATTAGTGAAGTGTAATCAATGCATTTTATTTCATAGTGTCCAGCGATATGTAGGTTAGGTAGATTAGCCATGAAGAATGCAGGGTTACAGGGATAGGGTAGGGGCTGGGTCTAGGTGGGGTGCTCTTCAGAGGGTCGGTGTGGACTCGATGGGCTGAATGGCCTGCTTGCACACTCTAGGGATTCTATGATTCTAAGACGGTGAGAACTCTGTGCCATTGGTTACTCATCGCTTTTGATGATACTGTTCTTGATGGATGTCAGGGTTTCCCTTACGAAGTGTCCAAATCACACTCTTGACAGGAAGAATGAAATCTTTGCCACACAAATCATTAGACCTTTGCAGGCAGCTATCTTGGAATTTAGTGACAAGCACTACTATTTCATCACTGACAGCAAAAATCCAAACAATCACTGAGCAATCAAATAATACGTTCTAGACTTTTCACACACAAGAGTTAGAATTATTGTACCTAATATTATGATGTGTAATTGCTTGCATAAATGCTTTAGGTATAGATGTATATTTTATTACATAATCGTTTTTCTTACTAAAGGCTATCAAATGGCTGTTAAGTTCTGCCAAAAACATATTTTTAAATATTCTTTTGGGAAGTTCTCAGGTTAGATAACTGCTTTAACCTCTAAAGTACTTAGGGATGAGCAGGCATTCTGGCCCTACATATAAAAAAATCTGTAGAATGAAAAGCTTGAAGGTTCCTTTATCAATCCTGTCAAACTCACTTAGTGCACATCCAAGGTTAGTGAACTCATCAAGTATTTTTCAAATACTGACCGATGGTCAAATGTACAGATTGCTGAAAGTGGTTATAAGCCTAGAGCAACTAGCAGAAGCTGAAGGTCCTCTTTTGAATGTAATGGCACTCGCTAGCATGCAACAAACCTTACATAATTCATTTGTAGCTTTTAAGTCTTAATATAACAAATGTAATACAATAACTGTGCGCATTTATGTCCCAACTTCTATCCAAAGTCCTTTAGGACCACATGAAGGTCTTTCACCTGGGCATATTTATCAAAGGTTTGAGCAACAGGTGAAGCTAGTTTTTCCATGCTGTTCAGTGCAAGTGGTGTTGGCCACTATCAGAATGCTACCGTCAAACCAAGAAGATCATTTATTACCCAAATCAGTAATATGTTATTTGAATTTCACAGCCAGTGTGATACCAAGTATGTAGGTCAGTCATATGTCCCAAAAATAGCATGTCGCTTTCACTGTTCACAACAAGCAAGGTACTGACCATACCCAACCAGCATGTACTTGCAATATTCACAACTGGGTCTAACATGAGATGCAATTCTGCAGTTAGACACCTTTTGTTGGTTGATCCTGAATGCACAAGAAATTGTGCTATCAGTCAGGCTTGTACCTGTTTCAACCCAACAAAACAGGTAATAGCCATTCATGGGTTCACTTCTCAGGGTAATGTCCTGAACCACAATCAACCTTCCTGGTTTAAAATTTAAGCAGAGCCAGACATTTAACTGTAAATCAACCTTAATGAAGGCAGTCTCCTTGGCAATGCCTCTATCACTGTCCATTTGCTAACCAGTCAGCACTTGCCTTTCATGCAGTACAAATGTTGACTTTTGCCTGGAATTGGTAATCGGTAATCTTGCAAATTGTCCTGTGGAGCGCAAGATGAAAAGCTTCAACAAAATGTGTCTATTTTCATAAATTCTCAAGTTTTACAGCCGATTGCTGTTTGGAATTGGATGTAATCTGTGTCAAATCATGTTATTCCAGTATAGATCAGATACCTGTCCAATATGCCAATAACCTGTATTTGTCATTTTAAAGGATATAAGCAAATACAGTATAATTATAGAATTCTTATCATATGTTACAGCTGCCAAACTGTAATCAGTTGGCTCTTTAGATCTACCTTGCTTCTCAAGCTCTTGTTCCAGAGGTAGAAGGACACCATCATCTTCGTCTCTGTAACCATAATAGTCTGCATCAATGTCTTTCATGAGCTCAGCACGGGTTTTTCGTGGTGGGGCAGGTGCTGCAATCAAACATATATGATTAAACGGTATGTTGTAATTTCTTAGAAGATCAACAACAAATATATTCAATACTACACTGCCTATAATTATATATTTAATTTTGATTGATTTAAAAAAAAATTCTTGTTAACACCCTTTACCGATATTATTAAGATAGTATGTATAGCTAATATTACCTAATATCTAAAACGTTAATGTGCATCGATAAATGGGGGGACTTCATCTGAACACCAGCACGCAGCACTATAATTTGTCTGCAAAATCAGTGATACTTTGCACTGATTGGAAGACTGACAGCAGGGCTCCTACCACTAGGTGATGTCAGGAATATCAGATAAAAGAAAATTGGAAGTCAGCATACTTTGAAATGAGACAATTTTTGTTTGATATTATTTATTGAATAACTTTGGCTTGCTTCTTAAGCAGTGCAACTACAATTCTGCAAGAAAAGTCTTGCATTGTTTGGGTTCCTCCATACCTCAACTAAGGCCCAGCACACTTCCTTATAGATTAATGTTTTTAGAATTAGAGGTGGAAAGAAATTGGTGTAAGAGGATGAAGATTCTTTTAAAACATACGTTCTTTTTCAAACAGTTCTCGTACTCCTGGCAAATCTTTAGCTGCTCCAAAATACTTGTATCCTCTATTGCCTGGAACTTCTTTTCCCTCATGATCCAACATTTTTGGTCCAACTTTCTAAGTGTTGAAAAAAAACTCCATGTTATAAAAAGCATTATCCAGCGTATAATCTTACGATGTTGCATTAGAGCCAACAGGAAAGTATAATATCACGGCACAATGAACAATCAATACACAGCTCCAGGGTCAGAAGAATGCAAGTCCGAGTCACGTGTACCTATAGCAATGTTAAAATCCTTGATTTTAGTTGTTTCATAGAAGGGAAACACCCACTGTCTTAAACTCTTCAATGTGAACAGTTTTAGAATGACAATAGCAAACATTTGAGGGGGCCATTCACCTTCTACGCTGGAGATTGTGTTCAATTTATGGAATCCCAGAAAATTACAATACAAAGAATCTCTGCATTAAATTGATAAGAAAATTAAAATACAAATTCCAATATTACACCTATTCAGCATTTGACAGTTGAAAAATATGCTGCTCAGTCCGATAACGTACAATATATCATGTTGAAGGAAAATGAAGTGTTAGAACGTAGATCCCAGTAAATGTCAACAAGAAACTTGCAGGATATTGCTCAGAAAAGCATCATTTGATGGTGAGGTCACCAGCAATAGTTAGTAGAAAAAAAGGGACAGGTATTCGATATGGGGTGGGGAAACAGAAGTAGTGATACATGGGGGCCCTCTGTCCCTGGACTGAGAGGCCTGGGTTCAAGCCCCACCTACTCCAGAGGTGCGTAATAACATCGCTGAACAGGTTGATTAGAAAAGCAGGTTAAATTATAGAAGATAGCAGTGATGTGTGACAGGAAGAAACATGGCAAGTACAAGTACTTGAGGCAGATAGGTAATCCGGACTATCAGCAGAGTGGGAAATACAAGCAATACAGCAGGCAGTTAAAAGGTACAGAGAGCAAGGAAACGATATATTTCTTGCAACTAAAGGGATCAAAGGGTGAAAGTGAATGCTTATTTTCACCTCCCCTGGCATTTGAAGATTTAAAACACAGGAAAATGGCTGTTTCAGCAATAAATCAGAAGACCAATTATTTAAATAGTGTAACAAAGGTTCCCCAAACAACCAATTTACATATTTCTGCCATAGGACACTAACCTCTGAAATAGATGCTATTAGATCCTTTGTTTCAAGGTTTCAATCCAAATATGAAAATGCATAACTTCTAACAGCCACGCTGCCATTGTTCACATGACATGAATGGTTATTAGAGTTTTCTAAGGTACTTACTCCATAGTCTGGACCTCCTAATTCCTTTATTCTGACTTCCCAATGGCCCTTCTCTCGTAATAACTTATTGATTTCATCGTTCAGATCACGAATCCGAAATTCTCCCAAACCAGCTTTAAGTTAAAAAAGTGTATACATTACACAAATGCATACTATAAAACTGAACACAAATTTGAAAGAATTGCAGAAACTTACCATTTTGTATCTGTGCTACCTTTTTGGAAATTTCACTTATTATCTACAAAATAATATAAAAGGTTTAATTATGAAATAGACACAAGTTACAGAAATTATGAAAACTTACATAATGAGTATCCCCTAAAAATATATCTACAAGCTTTTATTTCTGGAAACAATAATAAGGCAACTATAGCACAATCACATAGAAGGGATGGCTTCAAACAAACATTTATAAAGTTTCAAGCATCTATTTTTAAGCTAAGTCCTAAAACTAATATTAGAAATTGCACAGGCAAAACAATATGTAAGTGATTTTATTGATCACTTGCAGTGTTACTTGAAATTCAGCAAGTTATAACAAATACTTAAGTGAGAAATAAAAACCAAAAGAACTGCAGATGCTGTAAGTGAGAAACAAAAACAGAAATTGCAGGAAAAGCTGAGCAGATCTGGTAGCATCCGTAGAGAGAAAACAAAGTTCTGAGGAAGGGTCTCTGGACCCACAGATGCTGCCAGGCCAGCTGTGCTTCTCCAGCAATTTTTCTTTGGTAGTTAATATGAGAAAAACATTATCATTTTCAAGTAATTTAATCAAAACATGAAACATTTTCCACAATAGGATTAATTAGAATTTATTTTACAGTAAGGTTATTTATAATATTGAAATAAAAGTTGTCTTGCATTAGACTACATTAGAATTAATGCTCTTTTCCCCCCTTACGCTGCTAGGCTATGTTTTAATAGCTATTTTTTGCTTTCCCATATATGAATTAAAGATTATATTATACTTACAACTATTACTTAATATAAATATTTGAAAAAATTAGGAAGAAAAAGATTAAACATCTTCACTGTTATTTCCCTGAAAGACATTTATTACCATTTCAGTGTGAAATTCCAATAAAAATACCCAATTAATGCTGACATCCACAATTTTACTTCTGTGATTTCTGCATTGGGATATAATTAGGTTGAATAAGTGGGCAAAGACTTAGCAGATGAAGGAAAGTGTAACGTCATGCAGGTTGGTAGAAGAATCAAAAGGCAGATTGTTATTTAAATGGAGAGAAACTTTTTAAAAAGAGTTGCAGCACAGGGAGATCTGGGTGTTCTTGTACATGAAACATAAAAAGGTTAGCATACAAGTGCCCCAAGTACTTAAGGCAAATGGAATTTTGGCCCTTATTACTAAGGATTTGGAGTCTAAACATAGGGAAATCTTGTTATGAATCTCCAAGCTGTCCAGTACCTGGAGTACTGTGTACAGTTTGGTCCCCATATTTAAGAAATGATATACTGGCTTTGGAAGCCATTCAAAAAGAGATTCATAAGGCTTGATTCCTGGAATGAAAGAGCTGACTTATCAAGAACAGCTAACAGTTTAGCGCTTTATGCATTCCAATTTAGAAGAAGGAAGAGTGATCTTAATGAACCATACAAGATTCTGAGGGGGTTTGGTAGAGTAGATGTTGAGAAGATGCTTCCACTGTTGGGGGAATTTCAAACTAGGGACATAGTAATACAATAAGGGGACACTCATTTAAAACTAAGATGTAAAAGAATTTCTTCCCTCAAGGGTAGAAAATATCTGCAATTCTGTACTCCAGAAAGTTGTGGAGGCTGGGTCACAAAGTAATTAAAGAAGTAGAAGATAAATTTAAAATATAGGACTCAGAGTGACAGGATAGGCTTGAATGGGCTGAATTACCTACTTTTGTCCTCTTTCTTAATTTGTGTAATGCTATCTGTTCATGAAGAAATAGAATATATTGTGAATGTGATCACACAATTATTTGTCAATTCCCCCCACAAAACGTTCATTAGTGCTATTAAACAAAGAATAACTGCGCTTTAGGAAAGACGTGTAAAATAATACAAAACATTTGAACAATTGTAATAGAATCACAGAATTGTTAAGGTCCACAAGCCTATCATATCTATACTAGCTCTCCAAACAAACATCATGATTTAGTGTCATACTCCTGTACTTTCCCATAGCCCTGTACATTCTTTACATTTAACTAAACATGTTATGCTCTTTTGAATGCGTCAAATAAACCTGCCTCCACCACATTTGAACCACTCGCTGTGGTGAACAAAAGTTTCTTCTCACATTTATTTCTTTTGCTAAACATTTTAGATTGGTGTTCACCATTCACAGGAACAGTGCCACCCTATCTACTCTGTCCAGGCTTTTCATGATTTAAAAAAAAATCCTCAATCAAATCTCCTCTTAGCTTTCGCCTCTGCAAAGAAAACAGTCGCAATTTCTTCAACCTATCTCTATAGCGGAAGTTCCTCATCCCTGGAACCATTCTTGTAAACTTCTTCTGCACTCTTTCCAATACATTCACATCTTTCTAAAAAGTCTGATGTCCAGAATTGCACATAATATTTCACCTGAGGTCTAATTAGTGTCTAATACAGGTTCAGCATAGCCTCTCCACTCATGCTCTATGTTACTATTAATAAAACCCAAAATCCTGTTTTTTTTTATTAATCAGGCTTTTCACCTATCCTTCCACATTGACGTAATACAATTAGCTTATTCTTCATCTGAAATGATAATGATTGCATATATTGACAATAATACTCAATGTTCAGCCCCAAAGCAGTATTTATAGGCTACTCATCTTGTACTCAATAATCGAAATAGTTTTATTATCCCTGCACCTCAATTGTGCGGAAATTTAGAATTCACTTTTCTATATCCATTTAAGGAAGGAAATATTCTCAGAACTTTGAGAGAACCAAATAAATGTGTATATATAAATACTCAAGTTCTGTACTACCAAAATGACTACATATAATTAGCATTGTGAAAACTACATGTTGCAAAATAACAATTACCAAAAAGTACATTTAAAACATGTGTCATGCAGTATAATTAATGTTCCCCCTTGCATTGCATGTGAAGTTTTCCTGTTGAATATGAAATAAGTCACTAAATGAGCAGAGATTTATACAAAATGGTTATTAAGATAATATCAGGTTAGAGACTACAGAATTGTCGTAGATTCAGTATGAATTGCAGCCGATTCCCAACCCTTTAATGAGCACAATATAATGGAATGGGTAGAAAACTTTGAACATTATTTTCATTGGGTAGAAAATCAGCCACAAGATTTTAAAATGCCGCCCAGCAGACTAAGGAATGCATCATCTTCATGCTGTACAAGCAGGACAGTCTGGTATTAGATACTTCTACAACCTTTTATGCTATTGAATGTGGCTGTGGCATTTCTTCAATGTTATCTTTTACTTTAACAGAAGCAGGAATAGCGCAGTATGTCTGGCAACATCTGTGAAGAAAAAAATCAGAGTTAACATTTTGGGTCCAGTTTCTCCACAGTTGCTGCCAGACCTGCTGAGCTTTTCCAGCAACTTCTGTTTTTGTTCCCGATTTACAGCATCCGCAGTTCTTTTGCTGTTTAATCAAAGTTAACATTTTGGGTCTGGTGACCCTTCCTCAGAACTGACGCTAGCTATGAAAATGTAGTTTTTTTATGCAGAAGATTGGACTGGGGGAAGGGAGTAAGGAGTAAACAATAGATAGGGATAGAGCCCAAAGAGAGAGAAGAACAGTTGACAGACAAAGGAGTGGAAAACGATTGGGCTAGGAGGGCGAATAGCTGTTAATGGAGACTGTTAATGGCTAACAATCAGCTGTGTGTAATAGCAGACTATGTGATCACAAGGACTGACGTGAAGGGGTGGGGTCTAGGACTTAGAGTTGGAGCTCTAAAGTTATTGAACTCGATATTGAGTCCAGAAGGCTGCATGGTCCTCAAGCAGAAAATGAGGTGTTGTTGTTCTTCCAGCTTATGCTGAGCTTCACTGGAGCACTGCAGCAAGCCTGAGACAGAGATACTGGCCAGGGAACAGGGTAGTGTGTTGAAGTTGCAGGCAACTGGAAATGAAGAGCCATTTTTTGCAGGCAGAATGTAGGCGATTGCAGCGGATAATGCCATGGGCCTGTGGGAGGGGTGTTGGCAGTGAAGGAACAGTGGACCAGAGTGTCCCCAACAACAGTCCCTGTGAAGGCAGACAAGTGACAGGACGCTTATATGTATCTGGTAGTGGCATCTCACTGAAGGTGGCGGAAATGGCGCCTCATTATTTTCTGGATGTGGATGCTGGTGGGATGGTATGTAAGGCCAAGTGAAACGCTATTGCTGTTGAGGGAGGGAAGAGAGGAGATGAATGCCAACGTGCAGAAGATGGGTCAGATGGGTTGAGGGTCCTGGCAACAACAGTGCTGGGGAATCCTCGGTGGAGGAAGAAGGTGCACATTTCAGAGGCTCCCTTGTCGAAGTTGGCATATTGGAACATATGTAACAGAGATGGAGGAACTGAGAGAATGGAATAGAGTCTTTACAGGAAGCAGAATGCAAGCATGTATAGTCCAGCAAAGCTCAACGCATGCTGTAAGAATAACACCTCATTTTCCACTTGGGGGCACTGCAGCCCTCTGGGCTCAATATTGAGTTCAATATCTTTAGGCCTTGAACTCTCCTATGGTCCTAGACCCCACCCCTGAAAACCAGGCCTTGTGATCACAGTTTGCTATTACACACAACCCATTATTTGGCACTAACAGTCTCCTTTAACAGCTATTCGCCCTCCTAGCCCGATCGTTATTAACTCCTTTGTCTGTCCAGCTGTTCTCTCTCTATAAGCTCTACCCCTTGCTTTCGTTTATTCCTGACCCTATCTTCTGCATAAAAACCAACATTTTTCTAGCTACCATCAGTTCTGAGGAAGGCTCACTGGACCTGAAACGTCAACTCTGATTTCTCTTCACAGATGCCGCCAGACCTGCTGAGCTTTACCAGCAATTTCTGCTTTTGTTTCTGATTTACAGCATCTGCAGTTTTTTTTTGGTTTTTCTTTTAATTATTAAAAACAGAACAGGAATCTACCCAAATTCCCTAAAATTTCAAGCAATCTGAAACTTGATTATAATAAACTTCCCAGCATGGGATAACAAGGCTGGATATAAAGGATTTAATAATTAAACAAATACATTATTTTGCTAAATCCATTCAAGAAACTAATAGAGTTCAACAGAATTATGAAATGTTAGATTTAACTAGAATATTTCACTCACCTGTCTTCTCCATTTCTCTGCTTTATGTAAATCATTACACTCTGATGCAAGGAATGGCCTCCTCTCCTACTGAATACAGAGACAGTAATCAATACTAACTCCACAGCAAATAATGCCAACTTCAAAAAGTGGATTGTATAGCAAGCAAAATGGTGAAGAGGTAAGAATCTGATCATTCAACTGCAATCAAAAAAGATGGCGGAATAAGAATGTCACACTAAATTTATTTTGCTAGAATGCGATCTGTTGACCAGGCACCACTCATCACAGATATAATTTGACAGGTCATGTGTTGATAATCCAGTGTATAAGCTCTATAATTAAGCATTTTCCAAATCTTGTAAATATCAAGGAGAAACTTAAATAGTTGAACAGCATCTATACTGGGTTTTATATTAACTATTTTGTTATATAAAGTGGTCCTCTTTATTGCATCTTGCTTGAAAACTATTGCACAATTTACCAACCTTAACTTTTCCATCTTCCAGCTGGGCCTGGCGAAACCTTGCCAGAGCAGTCCTGAAACAAACCATTATCGTGAATTATTAATTCAACTTTCAAACGTTCGTAAGAACGTTGCACTGCAATACAAAAGACATACAAGATAATCCAGAAACATAATAAGTAAACTCACTAATACAAGAAATAAATGAAACAAAAGCAGGAAATGATGGAAAAACTCAAGGATGGAGTAACTGAACACCTTAAAAATTTTCAGTTAATCAGGTAGAGCTGGCATGGTATTGTGACAGGTAGGTCATGCCTGACAAACCTCATTTTAGTTTTTGAAGAGGTGACTAAAGTAGTGGACAGCAGAATATCTATGGATGTTGTACATATGGACATGGAGACAGCATTTGATAAAGTCCCACATAACAGATTGTTAACTGTAGTAGATGTCCATAGAATTGACGGCAAATTGGTCGAGTGGCAGGAGACATAAAGTAGGCATGATGGGTAGGTACTCAAATTGGAAGCATTTGACCAGTGGTGTCCCACAAAGATCTTGATTATTCACATTATTTATTAACAACTTGGATAATGTCGTGGCAAGTCATGTTTGAAAGTCACATTCTCAGTGCAAAAGAGAAAGCTTAAGCAATTGCAGCAATCCTTGGCCAGAAATGCCAAGTGAATGACCCATCTGTTCCATCAAGCTGTTCCAGTACAGTTACAACACTGGCATCTACCCAACATTGTGAAAAATTGCCCAAGTATGTCCTGTACACAAAAAGCAGGACAAATCTAATAAACATCCCAACAGTCTACTCAATCATCAGTGAAGTGATGGAAAGTGTTATCTACAATGCTATCAAGCAGCACGTGCTTAGCAATAACCTTCTCACTGACACCCAGTTTGGGTTCTGCCAGGGTCATTCAGTTCCTGACCTTGTAGAGCCTTGTTTCAAGTATGGTCAAAAGAGCTGAATTCCTGAGATAAGGTGAGAGTGACAGCTCTTGACATCAAAGCCACATTCGACTGAGTGTGGCATCAAAGAGCCCTAGCAAAACTTAATGGATATCAAGGGGCAAACTCTCGCTATTTGGAGGCACACCTGGCACATAGGAAAATGGTTATATTTGTTGGAGGTTGGTCATCTCAGCTCCAGGACATCTCTGCAGAAGTTCCTCAGGATAACTATGTATGAGTTCTCAATTGCGCTGCATTTAATGGCTTAGAAATTGCTACTAGTTACTCATTTGTTACAGATACTTTCTAACAATCTGTTCAGAGATGTTATTACATATCCCTGGAGCAGGTGAGACTTGAACTGGGGCTTCATGGTCCAGAGGTAGGGATACTACCATTTTGCCACAAGAGGCTCTGTTAAGGATGCACCCAGGCTTGAACTGAGGAACCTCATGATCTGCAGTCAAATGCTCTACTGCTGACGTATAGCCCATTCCTATTCAGAGGAATTATTACACACCTGTGGAACACGCGAGATTGAATCCAGGCCTCTTCGTTGAAAGGCAGGGACATTACCACAGGACCACAAGAGCCCCATATTGTCCTCAGCCCAAACATCTTGAACTACATTAATGACCTTCCTTCCATCTTAAGGTCAGATGTAGGGATATTGTACAATGTTCAGCACAATTCGCAACTCCTCAGATACTAAAACAGTCACGTTCAAATGCAACAAGATCTGGACAATATCCAGGCTCAGTCTGGCAAGTGGCAGGTGACAATTAGAGACAATCTAACCACTGCCCTTTGATATTCAATGGAGTTACCATCACTGAATCCACCCACAATCAACATCCTTTGGGTTACCATTGACCAGAAACTCAACTAGACTCACCGTATAAATAAAGTGGCTCCAAAGGGTCAGAGGCTAGGAATACTGTGGCGTATAACTCACCTCCTGATTCACCATAGACTGTCCACCATCTACAAGGCAGAAGTCAAAAGTGTGATGGGATACTCCCTACTTGCCTGGTGGGGACAGCTCCCAGAATACTTCAGAAGCTTGACACCATTAAGAAACAAGCAGCCCACTTGAGGGGCAGCATTTCCTCAGGCAGCCACTCCCTCCATCATTGACACTCACTAACAGCAGTTTGTTCCACCTACAAAGATGTACTGCAAAAATTCACCAAAGCTCCTTCGACAGCACCTTTCAAACCTACATCTACTTCACCAAGAAGGACAAAGTCAGGAAATACCTCGGAACACCACTCCCTGCAAATTTCCTTCCAAGTGACTCACCTCCTGACTTGGAAATACATCGCCATTCCTTCACTATCACTGACTCAAAGTCCTGGAATTTCCTCCCTAAGGACATTGTGGGTCAACGTACCGAAGGCAGCTAACCAGCACCTTCTCAAGTGCAACTAGGGACAGGCAATAAATGCGGAGCAGCCAGAGACACCCACATCCCATGTGTGAATGAAAAATAATTCCAAATTTGCTGAGTTAGGCTGCATTGTATACTGTGTGGAAGGCAGCATAAAATTACAAAGATGTACTGACAGACTAAGTGAACTGGCAAACTGTGCATACGGAGTTCAATGTGAACAAGTGTGAAGATCCCCATTTTGGACCAAAAACGATGGATCAGGATACCTTCTAGATGGTACGAAGTTAAATACATTTGACGTCCGAAGAGATTTGGGGGTCCAGATGCATAAGTCTTCAAAATGTCACAAACAGGTAAAGAAAATAATCAAGAAAGCTAATGGAATGCCGGTCTTTATATCTACAGGAGTGGAGTACAAAGATGCAGAAGTTATGATGCGGTATACAAAACCCTGGTTAGACCCCACTTGGAGCAATGAGAGCAGATCTGGGCACTACACCTTAGGAAAGATATACTGGCCTTGGAGGGAGTACAACGTATGTTTAGAAAATGATACATGGACTTCAGGAGTTAAGTTGTGAGGAGAGATCATACAAACTAGACCTGATTCCGCCAGACCTAATTGAAGTCTTCAAGATATTACAGGAAAAGACAGGGTAAATAAAGATAAACTATTTCCACTGATTGGGGATTCTAGATCTAAGGGGCATAGTCTGAGAAGTAGGGCCAGACTGTTCAGGAGAAATTTTAGGAAACATTTCTATACGCAAAGGGTGGTAGATGTTTGGAACTTTCTTCCACAAATGGCAGTGGAGGCAGGATCAATTGTTAATTTAAAATCGTAGATAGATAATTTTTTTGATAAGCAAAGATGTTAAGGAATGTGGGCAGAAGACAGGAAAATGGAGTTAAGCCACAAAGTGGCCATGATCTCATTGAATGGTGGAACAGACTTGAGGGACTGAATGGCCTACTCTTATTTCGATGTTTAGCATGAATCTTCAGATACTGAAGCAGTCTGTGTACACATGCAGCAAGACCTGGAGATCAGCTAGGCTTGGGCTGATAGGTGACTACTAACATTCATTCCATGCAAGGATCAAGCAATGACCATATCAAACAAGAGAGAATCTAACCATCACTCCATGACATTCAATAGCAATAACATTACTGAATATCCCACCATCAACAACCTGGGGGTTACCACGGGCCAGAAGTTGAATAACATCCACCACATAAATACTTAGGCAACAATAGCTAGGAATTCTGCAGCAGAAACTCAGCTCATTTCTCTTCAATGCTTGTTCAAGGACCAGTCACAAGTGGGTTGGAATACTCTTCACTTACCTTGATGGGTGCAACTCCAAGAACACTTAAAAAGCTTGACACCATACAGGACAAGCCAAACAGTCACCACCAATGGAACAGTGTGTTATCACCTACAAGATCCACTACAGCAACTCACTAAGGCTCCTTAGGCTGTCCCTTTCAAACCCAAGCAGCTAAAATGGACACCATAATTCAATCAGGTGAAAAAAAACTAACTACATGGAATCCAAAAATTCACAAAACCTGTAGAACTTAGCTGAAAGTTGGATTGACTTTTAATGACTAAAATGAAATGTACTTACATTGCCTTCTCAGCGTTTCGAGCCTGTGGAAGGGAAAATGAATTTTACATTACGTCATTCAATTTACAAATGAGTACCAGAACTCTACTCAACATGACGAGACAACTTTATTTATGCCATTTCAATCGCTTAGCAAAGGCATATAGCAGGAAAATAGTATTTTTATTAAAACATACACTGAAATCATGGTTCTCAAGGAAAGTATTTAATCCACGTTTGTAACAAGAAAATGGGAGTTTTGACAACATTAATATTACACTCACAAATTCATCAAGTGAACATCAGAAAGAATTCAAACCAAGAAGGGTCTGTCTGAACTAAATTAACGCATCTTAGAGTTAGTATTGCAGTAATCATTCACAGCATCACAGGTTACAGCTATGTGTTAGGAGTACTGAGAAAAAAAATACTTCAAGGCTCATTTTACTATGCAATAAAAACTTGCAAAAGCCAGGGAAATGGGTTTAGCATTGATTTGTTTTTTATTCATTTGTGGAACGTGGATGTCACTGGCTGGCCAACATTTATTGCCTGTCCCTAGTTGCTCTTGAGAAGGTGGTGGTGAGCCGCCGCCTTGAACTGCTGCAGTTCACCTGCTGTGGGTTGACCCACATGCCATTAGGGAAGGAATTCCAGCATTTTTGACCCAGCAACAGTGAAGGAATAGCAATCTATTTCCAAGTCAGGATGATGAGTGGCTCGGAGGGGAACTTGAAGGTGGTGGTGTTCCCATATAGCTGCTGCCCTTGTCCTTCTAGATAGAAGTGGTCATGGGTTTGGAAAGTGCTGCCTGAGGACCTTTGGTGAATTTCTGCAGGGCATGTTGTAGATAGCACACACTGCTGCTGCTACTGAGCGTCGGCGCTGGAGGGAGTGGATGCTTGTGGATGTAGTGCCAATTAAGCGGGCTACTTTGTCTGGATGGTTTCAAGCTTCTTAAAGTTCCAATTGCATGACGGACCCATTTCTACTCTAACTCATCTGATCCTATAAAATATGCAATTTAGTTTTCAAACATCAATATATCGTCTCTAATGCGTAGCATATTAAATTAACCTTAATCCATGAGCATCGTTGTCTTAGTACAATAAATGCTACAATAATAATAGGACCACATTACTGTACTGGCCATTCTAACGAAATTGACAATTAAACTTCGGGTACTCTGATCAGTTTAAACTACAAGCCTGTGCACAAACATTCCACAGTGAACTGAGAAACTGAAAATTGGCAAATACAACTGTTAGGGGGACAGCAATCGCCGGATCGAGACTCTCCAGCAATTAAACAAACCTAAAGACATTCGCGCATATCTTCCAACAAGATCGAGCACAGGACGATGTAAGGGGGGGGGGGGGGGGGCGAAAACATATCCCGTCAACCCACCTCTTCTCTAACACCGTTTATAACTGCTGATTTGATACATACCATTGTAAAAGTTATCAGCGACTACGATCGTACATTCAATGCTTCAGTCGCCTGGTGAGGAACCCCGGAAGCGGATCTCTCGGGTCGTAGGTTAGTAATGACGTTTAGACAAGAAGAATGCTGATTGGAGAGAGAGCCTCCCACTAGCGGTGACGGTTGGTCGGCGCGAGGGAAGAGGAGGGTTTGACCTGGAGTCACGTGGGTGGTTAGCACGCAGTGGCCAATGGCTATGATGGTAATACCCGAGACTGTGATTGCTCCTTTCCTCCAGATGCTGTTTGGCCTGTTGTGATCCTCACACTTTGTTATCTCTGACACCAGCATTGGCAGTTCTTAACTATCTCCCATAATACTCAGAACCTGCTGTTAACCTCCTGCTGAAGAGGGAGGAGAGAGTAAAAGGGACAAGGACGGGGACGGGG